TCCGGATAACGAAACTGATTTCCTTTCCAAAATTCAAGAACATCCAACTCAACACTCCCTTGTACTCTTGGCTCATCCAAATAAACTTCTAACTCTGATTTCTGCATGACAGATTGCTCTTGGCTTTCAAAGTTGTTGAACTCCTATAACCACAAAGATATAAAACAAGATGAAAAAGACAAATAAAGAACAATTAGTATTCATCAATGAATGTTAAATTAACAAAATCAACATATAAATATTCATAAACATAGTTACCTTCAATACTTTGGTTTGCATCTGTAAAAACTTTTGTGTTGGGTTTTTAGCAATAGGAGTAGGAAGTGAAGTCACAACATTTATTGTAGAAACCTTGCCCTTAGAGTATTCAGTAAATAACAACTCCAAATTTCTCTTAACTTCTAAAAATTGAGGCGACCCTTTCATTCCATAAACATTGTCATAAGCATAATCTACAAAATTCAACTTGTAACGAGGATCAAGCACTATCGCAATTGCCAATATCAAACTGAAATCTTTCCAATACTTCTCAAACTTGGTAAGCATTGCTTTTGCCATAGCAGACAAATATGCATCTTCACTTGTCTCAGATTTCTTCAATGACAAATAACTTGTGTACACAGTTGGAAAGTACAAGTTTGCAGTGGGGTATTTAGCTCCCGAAAAACACAAGTGATATTATAAAAGGGTTCCAAAAATTCACAAATTTTCTCGGCCTTTTCCCATTCATATGGATTAGGACAGTCCTTGTAATTAGAATCACTCAATTCTAAATGACAAAATGCTCGTCGATAATACAAGACACTATCAAGCATGAGGAATGTTGAGTTCCATCTTGTAGGTACATCTTGCCTCAAACCTCTCTTAGAATCAAGACCCACAAGATTTACACACTCTAAAAACTTCTTCTTTCTAATTTGGGACCCTCTTACATATTTCACACTCTCACGAATCTTTTTAACCACTGAATCAATATCTTTCAACCCCTCTTGCACTACAAGGTTCAAAACATGTGCACAACAACGAATATGAAAAAAAGAACCATCAGAAATAAGTGCATTGTTTTCAATCAACTGATTCTTCAACAGATCAACGGACACATCATTAGCAGAGGCATTGTCCAAAGTAAGAGTGAAAACCTTGTATTCAATTCCCCACTCACACAATAATGTATAAAGCTTTTTAGACAATGCAATACCAGTATGTGGTGATGGCATGAAGCAAAAATTCAAAATCCTCTTTTGCAATACCCAATCTTTATCAATAAAATGGGCAGTTAATGACAAATATCCATCTGTAACTATGGAAGTCCACAAATCAAATGTCAAACAAATTCTACCAGGGCTCAACTCCAACATAGACTTTATTCTTGCTTTTTCCCGAGAATACATTTTTTGGACATCTGCCTTTAAAGTATTTCTAGTTACCAAAGTTATCTCAGGATGCAAATATTGGTAAGTCGCCCTAATAGCTTCATATTCAACAAAGGAGAATGGAAGGTCGTGCAAAATGATTGTTGTTGTTATCAATTCACAAAAGTGTTCAGCATCAAACCTTTTTGCACTCAACGCTAAAGACCCTTTGTCTTGTGACATCAATAGTTGGCCCACGTCACGCGTGTCTCTACGTACACATGATTGCATGTAACGTCGCATGATTCCAGTCCCATTCTTGCTATTAGCCATATACACCACACCACACTCCTTGCATTTGGCTTTTAGCTCCTGATCTGCACCCATTGGAAGCCTTTCAAACTGGTTCCAGACAACAGAAGTATGCTTCCTTTTACATTTAGAACTGGTGGTCGGATTCTTGGAATTAGCTTCAGGCTCAACATCCGCCTCCAATGCAATAGGTGCATCACCAGTAGCAGCAGTGGATGTGGTAAAGCTGTTTGACTCTACGTTTACTCCAACACCATCTTGCAAATCATCCATCTACAAATCATATCAAATGCACATGAGAAAAGAAAAAAGTTTGAAGTAAAAGGGAAAAAAAACAAACAGAAAGAAAGAAAAAGTTCTTGTTGTTCACTTCTCCTCAGCAAATAAGTTTGTTTTCCCCTTTCATTTATGGAAACCATTTTATGGAAACATGTCCAAAGAGACAAAGTCATATAGATTCATCATCCTTCATGTGTCAATTACTTTAAAAAGAAAAGAAGAAAGACAACCACAAGTAAATTAGGTTTAGGCTTTAAAAAAGCTAACCTGTTCTTATTTTTTTTTCCCTCTCTCATCAACTACATATATCACAAACGGGCCCTGAGTTCTTGCTACTTGACTCTAGCTTTGCATATTGTTTGGAGTTTCAACTTATATGTTTGCACTCCCTACTATTTAATTTGATGGTAAAACTCCACCAGTGCTAGATATTCAAGGCCTTTTGACTTTTAGAATTAACTATTGAGGCTCTTTAAAGTGTTGGAGTTAATGAGAACATCCATATCTATATATAATGATCACTAGTACAAAACCAATCCAGAAAATCCTCAAACACTCACATATATGAAGTGGACCTACATCATTAGTTATAAAAATAGGTGCTTTATCTGTATTCTAATCGGGTTGGAAAAAAAGAACCTTTTAAACCTTTTAGAAAGATATTTATATTATATAAGACCACCAAAATGCGAAAAAAGAAAGGATGGAACCTATTCATCATAAAATGCTCCAAATTATTACGAACTTTAATATTTGAACCTTTTAAGATATGAATTGGACTACTTCAAATATGCTGAAAAATAGTTACTTATGTAATATTTGTCAAAGAGAACCATTACTTTCAGTATCTTCAAAGGACAAAGTAAAGGCAACATAAACACCACACAAAAGAAAGTTTTATAAACCTATTAATTTGAAAATAATAGTGAATATAACAAGATATTTGGCCTCCATAAAGCAAAAGAAAAATGATGAATATATAGACTACCTAAAGTGACCAAAACAAACTCTTTAAGAGCATAAAATGTTTATTACACTATACACAACTTAGAAAGAAACGAATATTATTTAAGCATCTTCGAAAATGAATTTATATTATGTTGTTTGCAGTCAAACTATTCTTTATCATATCAATTAGTCAAATTATTTGCAACACCATGTGTAATGTGTCTCACACCTATGCAGGCAATTCATGTGGGGTTTGAATCTTTGATGCACACCAACCAAATCAAGATTTTAAGAAATTCCGTGGGTTTCAATCTTTCAAATAAGTTCGTTTTCTCCTTTCATTTATGGACTAACAATAAATACCAAATTACTACTCATAAATTTCCACCATATATCAATGAAGCTTTCCCCTTTCTCCTCATCTTTTCTTCAAAGTTTTGGTTGGATTCTCCGGAATAACAAAAAAGTCAAACATGAAACGACTGAATGAAAGTGGAGAACATACCGGGAGAAATGTAGAGTTTGCGTCCGGTGTTGGAGACTCT